ATCCATCCCTCTATCCAACTTCCCTCATCATCCCTCTGTCACCCATCTACCCAACTGTTCATGTCTCTGTCCCTCAATCCTTCTATCTCATTTTCAATGCATTTTTTAAAAGATTTATTTATTGATGCATACAAGAGCTGGCGTGTAGGCCAGAGCTGGGGGGAGGTATGAGAGGATTGGCCAGAGACAGAGTGGGGAGCAGAAGAGGCAGAATGACTGAAATACACTGCTGAGGGGGAGCAGCAGGTGAGATAGGAGAGGTCTGCTGCACCATATGGGTCATCTCCCTGGCTGGGGATAGAACTCGTGCTGCAGTGGCTGCGGATAGCTTCATAGTGATGACACTTAACCCCCTGCACCACTGGGGAGGCCCTCCAATGCATATTTGAGGCCGATGAAAGTGAGACCCATCTCTCTGCGTCCCCCAGGGTGTCAGGCCCCACTACACACACATTCACACACACACCTACATGTATAACTCCCATAAGCACACAAGTACAACTCACCATATCCCCAGATTCACACATGTACACCCCACACACATGTGTGTCTACCATGCAGATACCACGTGCAATCACCTGTGCACATGCACACGTGCTCACACAATAGCCCACATGTCCATGTACATTCATGCCAGAACCTTGACATCTGTGAGAGAAGCATCTGGACATCTTTGGGAATCTTCAGGCCTGTGACCCTCATGGAATCTGTTCCAGGTCCCCATGCCCCATTTTTGGCAAGGGTCCCATTGCATATTGCACACCACACCCCAGCACCCTGCACACAACAGGCTCTCTCAAAGTACTGCTTGAAAAGGGAACAAATGTTGGGTAGTAGTGCACACACTGGCAGCCCCAGGGCACGCCGTCACAGACGTGACACACTGTACTTGCATTTGTGCTCACTCTGGCATCATGTGTGTCTGTACACACATGAGCATGTACTACGTGCACACACGTCTGCCTGTCTCTATGCTCCCTGGGTGGAGTCCATTTCAGGACCTGGGTCCTCTCCAAAGCCTTGGTCACCTAAGGGCTCTGAGAGCTTGTCTACTGGAGCCTGAGGCCCAGATGTAGCCCCCTGGCCAAGTGCTCAGGGCTTCTGGCTTGGACCTGTGTGTCTAGGTGACACCATCTCTAGTATTCAACAAAACCTGGGTTCTATCCTCACTCCACATGTGTTGGCTGTCCATGTTCCAAGTATCATTTACGTGTGAGTTACTTTCCATTATTATTTGTTAAGTGGAAAAATAGTTTTTACTTAGAGCATCTCACAGAGGATGGTCTTAGCAGGGTGGCTGATATGTTGAAAGCCTTTAAAAATGGTTGTGGTGGATATTATGTTACTGCAAACTCCTTTGCCCCAAACTCCCATGTGCCCTTTGGAAGGGGAGCAGCATGGGGTGGGGGCTGTGCATGGGGAATGTAGGTGGATGGTGCCCATATGAACACCTCTCCCCAGATGTTTCCCCAACCAAACCCTCATTATCCCATATGAATATTCATAAGGATTAGTCTCAGCCCTGCTCTGTAAATGGGTCAGAAGCAGGAAGTGGAGGCCAGTGCAAAGAGCAAAGCCCAGAGGACAGGAGGTTCAAAGCCAGAGTGCATCTGAGTCCTCATGGATGGGAGGATGGTGAGAAGGGATGGGGTAAGATTGGGTTTGGGGGTTTGGGGGCCACTGGAGGACTGGGCTGGGGTTTGTTGCTATTTTGTAGATTTGAAAACTGAAGCCCAATGAGATCAGATGAGAGAATCCTGGGGTGAGTGGCCCAAGATGCCAGAGCTGCTTCCTTTGAGACCTGGAAAGTTGGGCATCTAGCTGGTGGGGGCACAGGGGGTGTGAGCCCTGCAGTGTCACCCAACAGACAGAGTTACATGGCATTGGTTGGAAGAGCCAGTGCAATCCTGAATCCTAATCCTTCGGGAGCACTCAGAGAGCGTGGGCAACCTGCCAAGGTCACACAGCTGCTGACTGTGATCTTGCCTCTGGAGTGTGAGAGATGGTGATTCTGGCCCCGTGGAGGAGTCTCCAATGCAGAAGAAAGGAGGGTGGGTTGGTCAGGATACCACAAACCAAAGCCTTTTTTTTTTAAGATTTATTTATACAAGCTCTGGGTACAGTCAGAAGTGCGGGAGGGTGAGAGAATTCACCAGAGCCTGAGCGGGGAGCAGAGCAGGCAGAAGGAGCTAGGTACACTGCTGAGGAGAGCAGCGGGCGCGGCAGGAGAGGTCTGTGGCGCCATGTGGGCCCCTCGCTGGGGGCCGGGGATGGAACCAGCGCTGCAGAGGCCGCGGGCATCTTCGCAGCCCAGCGCTCAACCGCTGTGCCACCAGGGGAGGCCCACAAACCAAAGCCTTTTAATCTGCTTTCTCATTTCATCTCCTCAATCTCATCTTCCCTGAGATAACTGGAATGAAAACAATTATCCCTGTTTTACAGATGAGAAGCGTGAGGCTGAAAGAGGAAGACTCACCGCAGCAAGGCTGTGATGCTGTGAGTTATCCGCTGAGCGGGTGGGCCCCTCCAAGTCGATGACTTGGGGATGTGGGTGGGGTGAGGCCAGGATAATGGCAGCCTCTTCCCTGCTCTGGAAAACATCAATCTAAAACCAGATGGGGCTGTCTCTTTACCCTTGCAGCCTCAGGAACCTCGGTGCCTTTCAGACAACTGTCCATTTCTTACACTGCTATCTCCAAGCTCATAGCCCTCTGTGAGGTTAAGCAGGATAACCACCCCCATCGCAGGGAGTTGGTGGAGGTGTCGCTGCCTCGCCCTCAGGACAGCAGGGTGTGAGAGGCTATGGTAGGAATATTAGGTGTTGCTGCTCTTAGTCTTGGGCACTTTCTGCTGGACCAGGTCATGGGCAAGGAAGGGGATGGGGGAGGGGAAAGTGGGACCTGGGTGCAGAAGTGTCAAGGGAGTTGTCCTGGGGTGGGCGGCTCACAAAGTGCTCTTCACACCGCTGGTGGCGTTCCACGCACAGAGGATTGCCAGGTAGGAGGGGGCCGTGCTGGGATCAGTCAGAGCAGAATGAAGAAATGGTGTGGTAAAGTCCAGGCGTTCAGTCACTCAGCAAGCATGTCCTGCCTCAGTGTGTCCTGGGCCCTGGGCTGTGCCCAGGGCAGCCAGAGGTGAATCAGACAGGCCTGGGGCACCCCAAGTCTCCTAAGGGTCTAGGACCAGGGAAGGACCGCCCTTGTTTTTGGACAGAAAAAAAAAAGGTGGACAGGACATTGTCACCTCCATTTGTCAAGAGGCAGTGAGATGTCACTTGGCTCTGAGGTCAAGGCCAGGGTGGATGGGCTTCTAGCTCTTCCCTTCTGAGGGCTGTCACCATGAGTACCCATGGAAACAGCCACAATAATCAGCACCAGAGTTCACTAAGTGCTTCGTTCAGGGGTCAGCACCCCTCATCGCTTTCCTTCTTGGAGTTTGGGTGGGGTGGGGACTCACCTAGCTCTCAGGGCCATTGAATGGGACCACACAGGTGAGTGAGCTCAGAGGGTGCTGGAGCTAGGGCCAACCAGTTATTGGTGAGGCCATAACAGAGGCCCACGCTGTTTGGAGGCACAAGGAAGCAGGAGGATACGCCTTCCAAAAGGGGCAAGGAGTTTCCAGGGGGTGATGGTTTTCTGCATTGACAGGATAGGGGGCATTAGCAAGGCTTCGATGTGTAGAAAGGGGCAAGAGAAGGACTTTCCAGGGGAGCACATCATGTAGGCGAAAGTGTGGAGGAGGGCAACTTGGGGTGTTTGCAGGACAGTCCTGGCACAATTAATGCCCCAGCCTGGCGCCTTATGAATCACCCACGGATGCAGTCAGGGCGGATCTTTGACCCCAGGGCCAGCTGCAAGGCACCCGAGGCACCTTCCTTAACATTATCCTGTCTTGGGTTGAATGAGGAGAGGCCTGGAGGGTGAACAGAGAATAATTAGAGAGTCCTGCTTCTGGTCTCTCCCACATAACCTGCTAGGCTTTCTGCCAGGAATGTGGCCCACCCACACCTTCTGACCTCCTTAGCTGGAGGCTTGGGTTTGGGCATTTCTGGGGAGCAGGCGTGCATGACAGGAGTCCATACAGTTTGAAGAACAGTGGATGTAGGGGACCAAAGCAGTGTGAAGCTGGGGTCTTAGTGACAGGGAACTCTCACTTGTCAAACATCTACTGTGTGTTGTAACAGCCCAAAAACAGCCCAAAGAGGTAGATAGCCTAACTTTATGGATGGGGAAACTGAGGCTCAGAGGGTGGAAGTGACTGCTGATTTCTTTATGCAATCATTTCATCATTCAACACACCTATGCATTGCTCAGAGGCTCTCCACCAATTGCCAAGGACTCAGAGGGAACCACTTCTTGGCTTCTCCCTCCCTATGAGGTCACACTGTGTCCTCGCTAAGACTCACATCCAGGTCTCTCTCTTTTTTTCTTTCTCTCTCTCTCTTTCTCTCTTTCTTCTTTCTTTCATTTATTTAAGAGCTGGGGTACAGGCCAGAGGTGTGGGGGGTGAGAGGATTCACCAGAGACAGAGTGGGGAACAGAACAGGAAGATGGACCGGAGTACACTGCTGAGGGGAGCAGCGGGCGAGTCAGGAGAGGTCTGCCGCGCCATGTGGGTAGCCCCCTGGCGGGGGATCGACCTGTGCTGCAGAGGCTGCTGACAGCTTCATAGGTTGCGTCTTAACCCTTGCGCCACCAGGGAGGCCCAGGTCTCAATATTTCTAAGCACTCGCCTTGGCCCGGGACAGGAACCCGATCAGAGTCGGGTCTGGTTGGCGGCTCCCACGGCCGCCAGAATCCTGGGGGGACCCGTCACTTTCCCTCCAAGTCCCGCCAGGCGCACCTGCCCCAGGTGAGCTCCAGGAGGCGGGAGGGGCCGGAAATCGTCGAGCGGTTTCGCAGGTGGGGCGGGGCCGGGGCGGGGCTCGGCCGGGCGGGGCGGGGGCGGGGCCAAGCCCGAGCGCCCCGAGCGCGGCCAGACCCGGACCGGATCCCGCGCCCGCGCCCGCGCCGCCGCCGCCATGGGGGCCTGCCTGGGCGCCTGCTCCCTAATCAATTGCGTGAGTCCGGACCCCGCGCCCGCCGCTCCCGCAGCCTGGCACTTTGTCCTGTGTTCTTCCTCCAAGTAGTTTCTGCTTTTCCTGCCTTCAAACTTGTCTTTCCGAACCCGCACCCGCCCTCGCGCCCCCGGGCATCTCTCCTGGGCCCCCGCCCTCTGCCGGACCCGGGGCGCCGGGGCCGCTGCGGTCCTGGGCTCGGGTTACCGCCTCGGCAGGGTTGGGGCGCGCTGGGGCGGGGGGAGGGGTCTGCCCCGGCGGGCGCGGGTCCCAGGGATCGGGAGACTGAAGTGCAGAGCCCAGGGTGGGGATCGCCCCCCGGCCCCCTCCGGCCCAACTTGGGGATGTCCTGGCCGCGCCTCTTGCGCGCACTCCGACTCTTTGTGCGACCTGCCCGGCCCCCGCCCGCCTGCCGGGGCGCCTCTCCCGCGGGGGCGGGCCGTCCGCGCCTGCCCGGCTGCCTCAGTTTCTCCGTTTGCAGCCGTCCGCGGCCCGTCGCCGTCTTTGTCCCGGCGCGTCGCTCCGTCTGTCCGAATCCGCTTCTCTGCTCCCGGCCCCGCCGCCGTGGCGGCCTCGTTTCTGGCTCCGGCTCACTCCTGGGCACTCCCCCAACAGCCCCAGACGCTTCCCCCGGGGCCCCACCGCCGAAATGGGGGTGGGGAGGCAGCCCCCGCCGTCTTTCTAGGCTCCCCTTGAGCGAGGGTGGGGGGCGCGGAGCAGCGCTGGGCGCGGGGCTGGAGGGCCCGTGGTTGGGGCATTCCGGGGTGTGTGCTGGGGTGGGGGGGCCCGGTGGCCTGGCCTGGGGGGTCGGAGGGGCAGCCAGCCTCCCCTTTGGGGCTGCAGCCAGCTGAGGGGAGGAGTTTCAGCCAGACCCCTGCCCGAGGCCCCTGCTCCTTCCCTTTCCCAGCCCCCGCTCCTTCCCCGCTTTCTCTCATTAAATCTGAGGTTCATTCAGGCAGCCCCCTCCCCCCCTGCCCCACACAAAGAGAGAGTGACGGGGGGAGTCTGGTGGCTGCCGAGTCTCCGCACTTGCTTTCCTTTGTCCCCGATTCGTGTGTAGGATGGGGTGCAGGGGCAGGGTGATGGGGATCTTAAGATTTACAAGTCGTTTTCTGGGGATGGTATCTGTTCCGAGAGGCTGTGGGGTGGGGGCCCTGGACAGATCTCTTCTCTGGGCATGTTTCCCCATTTGTGAAGAGTGTGAGAGTGTGTGTGTGTGTGTGTGTGTGTGTGTGTGTGTGTGTGTGTGTAGAAAGAGGACTCATGAGATAGTCCCTGAGCTCCCTCCCTCCCCAGTGAATTTAGGGTTCAGCCTGAATCTTTGGCCTGGAAGGATTTGCTTTCTAGTGGGAGAGGGAAGACGCCCCCAAACTCCACCAGATTTCCTTCTGGTTGGAGCGGTGGGGGGCGGGGGGCTAGAAGATGTTGAGGGGAGACCACCCAGTCTCTGGTGCTTCTCATCTGCCTCCCACATAATGCTGTGGGGAAGGTGAAAAAGTGCCCAGCCCAGTTCCTCCCATATAGTGACTGCTCCAAATGGGAGCTGTGGTTATTATTATCTTGGAAAAGTGGGTGGAGAATTCCCCGTGGAGCCAAGTGCCTGAGTCACAGAATCCTACAACTGAGACCAGAAGGCACCTGACAGGTCTGCTCAAACCCCCAGTTCAGATGAGGAAAGGCAGCCCAGAGAGGTTAGCTGACTCACCTAAGGCTGCACAGTGGCAGGATGGGGGAACTGCACAGTCAGGATTAAAATCTGATTCCTGGTCCAGGCCTCTTCCAGGGCCACCCTCCGTTCACATCCTGGCTGCCAGCTCAGGACAGGGCTGGCCCAGGGTAGATGGGAAGTTAACTTAGTTCTGATATCTGCAAGGGGTCAGCCTCCCCTGCTCCGGGGCTTCCTCTTGGGGTTCTGGCCTCTGATATTTACTGAGCACCTACTGAACTGAGCCCCACACCCCTGCCATCTCACTGGTTCTCAGGCCTGTGGCCTAGTTACCATTTTTACAGATGATGATACCAGTGGGCACCCCCAACAGCTGTGTTGTTACTGTCGGCCAGCACCCATGGGCCAGTGCTGCCGAGCGGTGCCAGGCCCAGCACCAGAGTGAGCGCTTTATATGGGTGTTGTGTTAATCCTCGCCGTGACCCCAGCGAGGCAGTTCCTATTATTCCCATTTCATGGATGAGGACGCTAGCTTAGGGAGCGAAGATGATTTCGCCCCAGCCATACATGGACCCGGAATCCTGGATGTGCCCCTTCTCTGCTGCGTGTCTGGGGGTGCTCACTTTTTGCTCTTTCCTTGTGTGTGAAGTGGACAGAACACTGGCACCTGCCTCTCAGCCCATCGCGGGGATGAAATGAGACAGGGGTGAGTTGCCAGCTGGTCTAGCAGGAAACTGGGGGCCGCGGCCCCGTGCCCGAGACCACATTTGAGGAAGAGGTGAGGCCAGGCAAGTCCGTGGCTGTCTGATTGGAGAGCCTGGGCTCTGAGCCAGTTTACCATCCTGCTCAGGAGCCCATTTTACAGCTGAAGAAGCTGAGTCCACGGAGGAGAAAAGAGACTCATGTGAGCGGATGGCAGAGGGCACTAGGACCCCTTTTAGCATTGCGGGGTGCAGGGGTGAGTGTGCTGGGAGTATTTCTGAGCCGACCTCTTCTCCTGTGTTTGCCTGGTCCTAAGGGGGCCAAGCCAGTAGTGGGGTCATTCACCAAGTCTGCAAGGTGTGGCCTGCCCATGCTGGGACCAGGTTTTTGTTTCATTGTGGTGAATATACATAACAGAAAGTTTTACCATTTTAAGTTTTCTTTTCGCCTTCAAGGAGCTTGTCATTTATTTTAGGAAACATGATCTCTATTAGACATGGATTGCTCCTTTTTTGATATCAAAATGAATGGTATCCCAAACGCGTCATCCTGTCTACGCAGGACATGCTGTTGGCTAAAGCACATGACGAGAATGCTAGAATCTGTCCCTCCCTCAGCATGAGTTCTCTGGATTCCTGAAAGGAGGCCCCACAGCTGCCTCTGGGTCTTTTGACCATTCTGTGGCCTAGGGGCTTTTTCTAAAATTCAAGTTTGATGCTATGCCTCTTCCTCAGCAGTGGTTCCCCCTGCCTTCAGGGCAGAGTCCTGACCTCCACAGTCACCCCCATGGCCACTCTAGCGTCTTCTCTTGCTCACGCCCGAAAACACCACCTTCCTCTGCCTGCCTTATTCCCTTTGCAGGGATAGCCTTCCCTTCCCTGCCTGCCAGACGTCCTGCTCTTCCTTCGGAACTCCCTACCCCTTCTTTTTTATTGCTGTAAAATATACCTAACATAAAATGTATCATTTTTCCCCATTTTAATCTGTGTAGTTCAGTTTACCTTTATTTTTTCAGCATTTCTTTAGGACCTCCATGTGGTTGTGCAGTCACTGCCACCATCCACCTCCAGAACTTTTTCTTCTTCCCCAACTCCTTACCCATCCGATCACTTCCCACTCTTCTCTCTCCCCTCCCTGCCAGATTTCTGTGACTCTGACAAGGCCGGGGGTCTCAGTCTTTGGTGAGGGCAGTTTCACTTAGTGTGATGCCCTCAGACTTGTCTGTGTTGTAGCATGTTTGAGGATGGCATTCCTTTTCTGACTGAATAACTTCCCATGTTTTGCACCTGGACTGCATTTTGTTTATCCACTCATCTGTCACTGAGCCCTTGGGTTGCTTCCTCCTTTGAGTTACTGTAACACTGCCGTGAGCATGTCTGTCCAGGTCCCTGCCTACCATTCTTTTGAGTAAAACCACAAGTGGAAGATCAGATTGTTTTCAACAGAATAACTTTCAACCGTGACCCCAGCTCTCAGCCTCTCCCACCCACCCACCTGCCCCAGGAGTGGGTCCACCAACCTGACTTCCTGGCTCTTGAGACAACCAGGAAAGAGTGTGAATGACTCAGTGACAACGTCCCCGCCATGCCACACTGTGCACACCACACTGCTCACGGCTGCCTCCTGAGCGGCCCAGCTTGCCTGGGGAGGGAGTGAGCTCCTTGTCATTGGCAGGGTTGGAGAGCAAAGGCTGTCGGTGCCCGAGTCCTCATTTGGGAGGCTGCACAGACCAACAGCCGACAGCCAGGAATCTTGCAGCTGTAAGGCCTAAGAACCACTTCTGCCTTCTCGGTTCTGAGAACCTGGCTGGCGCTAAGATTCAACCACTTTTGTGTTCTGGTGCTTTCCAGAACTGCCTCAGAGGGTGATCCTAGTGCAGGAAGTTGGATAGTTCGCCTCCGCCTTTCACGTGTATCATAAGCATTGGTCCTCCTTGTGCTCAGCCTGGAGACTTGACTTTTATCTTTTGTACTCTGAACATGCCATACACTCTGCTGATCTGGTTCTCCATCAGCTCAGCTTATCTTCAATTTCTTGAGATTCTAATAAGCTCAGAATACCTAAAGCGTGTGCCTATTTTAGTGTTTTTTTCTTAATTAAAATGTTTATTTTAATAATAAAATCAACTTTATTAAGATAATAGTTGACATTCAGTTAAGTTTAGTTGACTGTACCCATTAAACACGACCTCACATCTGCTCCATAAATCAGAGTGCTCCCTCTGGGTGACAGCCTTGATGTGTCGATGGGAAGTTAGTTATTTTTCAATTCCCCCGTGTTATTTTCCAGTTTTGAACCATCGCCATGAATTCTGTGTACGGGAAGGGGGACACATGTTTCTGCCATGACTCCTGTGGGCTGGAGTTTCTGTCCTTTGAAGAGAGATCCTCCAAAGTGGATCTTGGGTCAGATCCCAAGGACGCTGGGGACTGAGGCATGTTTTCCTCTCTCTGACCTGGTGTCTGGTGGCCCACCAGGCCTTGGAAATCCTGAGGGTTCAGGTGTCAGGAACACCTACATTTTGCCTGCCAAGAGCCAGAGTGAATTGGGAGACCAGGCTCCCGGATGCAGAGGGCCAGCTCTTGTGTCTCCAGTGGTAACAAGCCAGAGCCAGGCCCTGACCCGGGCACTGGGGCATCTGGTTCCTGAGAATTGCTTGGTTTTTCTCTGCCAGTGGAAGGATTGCTTTTATCATTGGAGTGTTTTGTAATTAAATGAAATGCCATCAATGAGGGGGCTCTTGGTGCCAACAGAGTAGAGCACGAATCCCAGCTCTTTACCTTACTTTCTCTGTGATCTTGGTCATGTCACCTCTGAGTCTCAGTTTCCACATTTGTAAACAGGAGGCAACAACATGCATATTTCATCGTGTTAGTGAGGTCAATGTAGCTAGATGCCAGGACTCACTATTAAGAAATGGTGGCCATTATGGTTGAGTCTCAGCACTGCTGTCCACTTACTGTGTGACTTCTGGCAAGTTCTAGAACTCTCTGATCTCCTCATTTGTAAAATGGGACTAATAATATGCTCTGTCTGATAGCCAGAATTCTCTTTATGGTTTACAAAGCACTCTTGGCATTTGCTTATTCCCTCACCCACAAAAGGCAGCCATAGATAGGAGACAGGGTTTGGGGTGAAGGCTGCAAGATGTACCAGAGTTGCGGGATGGGTTCACTGTTAAACTGTGGATCGCGCGGAAGGATTTCATTCCGCAAGCATTTAATTTAGCATCCATGTTGCACCTGGCTTTGTGTGTGAGAGAGGTAGGTAAGAAGGAGCGTCTCCCTGAGAAGGCAGCTACCCCAGAGTGCGCCGTACACCTTATGACTGGTCCAGAGAGCAAGGTGGGAGTCTCAGAGGAGTGAGGGGCCCCTTTCAGCCTGCTCCCACACAGCTGATCCTTCAGTGTAAGGCTGTTTCTATCCCTCCTGGCTATAAATTCTCAAGTGAATGCCCATTGCTCTTAGGATGAACGCCAGAGCCCTGCCATGCCAGCCTGGCCTCGAGACTTACCAACCACTCTGGCTGCTCCTGAAGCTTTGTCCTCAGGTGCTGCGGACCAGCACAGCAGTAGACGATGAGCCCACCTCAGGGTTGAGAGAAGCGTGCAGGGTGGTCAGGGCGTCGGTGAAGGAAATGACAAACAGACACACTTCAAGAGTGAAAATCTGAGTGTAATTTTCTTTGAGTTTGTGACCAATATATATGTTTTCCAAAGGCACAGGGACAATGAATATCAAAGAAATTAGCTTGCTCATGGGCTCAGTCTATCACCATCAGGGAGGTGATCTACATAACAAGCAATGACTTTTATAGAAGAAAGAAGGAAGTTTAGAAAGACAATAAGGGATTAAAGTTTGTAGTTCTAGAAAGACAGGATAAGATTTTTAGCATTCTTGTAGTGGTTCCTGGTGGTCGTTATCTTTTGATAAGCTTGTCTTTTCAGGGAACTTCCGCTGTACTTCCTCTGCTTCAGGGTGTTATGCTGTTCTCCCCCTGCACACTGCCCAGCCGGACCTAGGGACCGTGGCGAAAGCCATTCCTAAAGGTCACTGCGGGGGGAGGTGCAGCAGGTATGTCTTCAGAGGGTTTTGCTGTTCTCCCCCTGCGCGCTGGTTGCCCAGCCGGACCTAGGGACGGTTAGCCCTAAAGGTCACTGCAGGGGGAGGTGCAGCACTCAGGACCTTCGTTCTATTCCTCCAGGGCCCCAGCTCCTGCCTGCCCGGCCCTGCCCAGGCTCTAGTCCCTCTGTGGGGAACACTCTTCCCCTTGGTCTCCTCATTCTTCAGCTCAATCCAAATGCACTTCTGGGAAGTGACCCGCCAACCCCTAATCTAAAGTAGGCCCTGTGGGTCTCTCGTGGTTGCCTGTCTGCTTCTTACCACCTCCCCTGTTGGATGAAAGGGTTTGTTGCATGTCTTCCTTGCCTTGGGAGCACCAGGAGGTCTGGGCCTGGGTCTTTCTTGCTCTCCAGACTCAAATACCTAAGTGAGGAGTTGGGGCTCTTTGGGGGAGGGTTAACAGTTTACCATATGTTTACTAGATGAGGGCACAATTCTTCAAAGGCTGGGCTGTAGACCTGGCTCTCAGACTCAGGGTGAGTCTGCTTTTGGAGTACTAGTTGTGAATGGTATGGCGTCATCCCCCTCAGTGTTTCAGCCAGTCCAGTGAGGGGAGAGGCTGCTACTAGCTTGTGCAGAGAAGCCCCAAGAATTCTCCTGTCCAAAGCAGGTCACAGCCAAGAACAGTTCTTCACTCCATTAATTAGACACGTTTATCCTGTGCCTGTTGTTTCTGGAGGTCTGGTAATCTGCTACATACGTGACATTTGTTCAACAGTCATGGAGCTCCTAATTATGTGCTGGGAACTGTTCCAATCTCTGGGATTACCACAGTGAACAAAACAAACAGCAATTCCTGTCCTGTAGGAGCTTACATGCTAGAAACGGGAGGCAGACAAACCTAAGCAAAATATCAAGTCCTTCAGATGATAGTAAGTCCTGTGGAGGAAAACTAAGGGGAAAAGGAAGTCTGAGGTAATACAATTTAAAATTCCTTTCATTCTTAAAACTGCCATGCAAAGTAGGTACATTATGATTCTCATTTTATAGAACATGAAACTGAGGTTCAGAGAGGTTGAGTGTGTTGTAGAAGGCCACACAGCTTATCAGTGGCAGAACTGGCCTCCTGGATTTTTTTTTTTAAAGATTTATTTTATTTATGTATGTAAGAACTGGGTTGCAGACCAGAGGTGCAAGGGGTGAGAGGATTCACCAGAGACAGAGTGGGGAGCAGAACAGGCAGATTGACTGAAATACACTGCTGAGGGGAGCAGCGGGCAAGATAGGAGAGGTCTGCTGCACCATGTGGGTAGCTCCCTGTCTGGGGATTGAATTTGTGATGCAGTGGCTGTGGAAAGCTTTGTTATAGGACAGGGAGAGGGGCAACCCAAACCCCGCAAACCTGCCTATTCTACATGGGTTCTGCCATCCGCCGCATCAACACAAAACATAGGAGACTTTAATGGGAAGGAACTTTAATAAAACTAGGAAACAATACAGGTAAGGCAAAGAGTCTAGTTTCTAAATGAAGCATCCAGAGTTACCCATCCCCTCGTGGGTAAAAGTCCATCCAAATGGGATTGGCCCAGAACAAGGCCCTAAAGCCTGCCATGAGTCTAAAGCATCTTCCAGTGGGGACCCACAGAAAAGGGCCAGAAACAACCGGACAAGCTCGGAAGGAAAAGAGCAAAATCCACATCAAGATAAAAGCTGCCATGGTCACCTCCCCACGGGTCTCACCCACATCTGTGTCACCCAGTCCATGACCAAAAGACAAGCGCAGTTTCTTCACGTGTCTCTAGGCTCCATGCGCCTCCTCCAGGTCTCCTGGCTCCATCCTGCTTCCTTCCTCAGTCTCTTCTTCAGCTTCTCCTCTTCCTGCTCAGCTCCACCCTCCCTTGGGTGGGGCAGGGAACCTCCCCCTTTCCTGGGGACCACCCTGTTACAGCTTCATAGTGCTGAGACTTAACCCCTTGAGCCATCAAGGAGGCTCCTCCTAGATGTTTTTTTTTTTTTTTACTACTCTGCTACCTCCAAAGGAAGAAAAAGTGTCACTCAGCCTTTTGGGGGCTTGATTTGCTGAGCACCCTGCCTGGTGAGGCTCAGCTGGGCTAAGTGCAGACTTGGAGGCATCCAGTGGCAGGTGGTGGGTGCTGTGTGTTCGGACACAGGAGGGGAGAGGCAGGAGTAAGGGCACCCCTGCTGTCTCCACAGGCCTCCTGCCTCTGTGGCTCTGCCCCCTGCATCCTGTGTAGCTGCTGCCCTTCCAGCCCCAACTCCACCGTGACCCGCCTCATCTTCACCGTCTTCCTCCTCCTGGGGGTGCTGGTGTGCATCATCATGCTGAGTCCCAGTGTGGAGAGTCAGCTACACAAGGTGAGCACCTGGGAGGTAGGGACCGGCCCCGTGTCTGGAGAGGGCTCAGGCAAGGGAGCCCAGGCTTGGGATCCAGCGAGTCAGGAAGGGGTGGCAGGAGTGTCTGGGGCACCAATGGCCCTTGGCCATGGGGAGGAAAGAGGGGTTAAACCTCACCTGGGAATTCTCATTTCTCATAAACCACGGTCCCCTTGGAAAAGCTTATATTAATCAGCATTACCCCCGTGACACTGGCCTGGAGCAAATGGTCCCTGCTTTCACGATCAAGCCCAGCTTGATCACCACTTTGGGAAATCCTGAAGCTGTGGGGGTGAGAACAGGGAAACCCTCGGAGACTGGATGTAACAGACCCGCTGTCTCAGGGGGGCTCACTCGCAGACCTCTGCCCCGGAGGTGGGTGGGAGATGGAAAGAGGATCAGGCTCCCACGGGCCCAGGGTGGTGGGTGGGTAGGCGGGGTCTTCACGCTGCTCTGTCTGTCTCCACAGCTGCCCTGGGTGTGTGAGGAGGGATCTGGGACCTCCGTCATCCTGCAGGGCCACATCGACTGTGGCTCCCTGCTCGGCCACCGTGCTGTGTACCGAATGTGCTTTGCTATGACGGCCTTTTTCTTCCTTTTCACCATGATCATGATCTGTGTGCGCAGCAGCCGGGACCCCAGGGCTGCCATCCAAAACGGGTGAGGAAGGGTCGCCACCTGCTCCCTGGCACCCTCCTGCAGTGGTTCTCCCCTTTTCTGCCCGATTCAGGGATGCCCAGACCCGCCCCTCAGGCAGCCAGGAGGGCATAGCAGAGAGATCAGCTCATTTGGTCATTGCCATTTCTCAGATGAGGAAATAAAGCACAGAGAGGGCAACAACATACCTCAAGCCACACAGCACTCTGTGACATAGTTGGGGCTAGAACCCAGGTGACACCCTCACCCTGACATGGGCCTTTCCTCTGCCCCTCAGGCTTTTTCTAGGACTAGGACAGATTTTTCATGCCCATCACAACCAGAAATGCCACTGCACCTCTCCAAGTACCACTGTTCTTTGGGGGGTGCGGTTCTGGAGATCAGTCCCGTCTGACCTCCTGTCACCTCCCCCTGCGCACTCATCCATCTCCCTCTGCCCCCAGGTTTTGGCTCTTAAAATTCCTGATCTTCTTGGGCATCACCGTGGGCGCCTTCTACATCCCCGATGGCTCCTTCTCTGACAGTAGGCGGCCTGGGGGGGAGAGGGTGGGTCTTCAGAGGGAGGGGCGCTGGCGGAGGTTGCTCTTGGCCCTGGCACATGGACCCCTGACTGCTGGCTGGGTCCTTGTCCCCCCTCCAGGAGCAGTGAGGGGTGGTTGGGGGAACCCACCTTGCTCCTGACCCATACCTGCCACACTGCCTCTCTGCATGACTAGGGGCTCCCTGGGGCCGGGACTTGGCTTCTCAGCGTCCCCATGTAGGGCATGGCACAAATGGTGGCTGAATGACTAAGTGTGTGTAACTGGGAGCATGTGGGACTGTGCCTGCACCAGGGCGGGGGGCTCACAGGCCCTGGCTCTCAGGCTGCTGCCCCCCAGACCGACCTCCTGCCCTGACTCCCTTCTCCCCCCCAGTCTGGTTCTACTTTGGCGTGGTGGGCTCCTTCTTCTTCATCCTGATCCAGCTGGTGCTGTTCATTGACTTTGCGCACAGCTGGAACCAGCGGTGGCTGTGCAAGGCCGAGGAATGTGACTCCCGGGCATGGTACGCAGGTCAGTGCTGCCCGCTGACCTCCCTGAGGGGCCTGGTGTGACCTCGGAACTCAGGAGTCCCTGCAACTAGATGCAAACCTAGAGGGCCTCTCAGGGCAGATGTAGAGAAAGGGGATATGTGAAGGGTGACTTCAGGGAGTGCTGGGGGAGAGCTGAACTGGGGAGGCCTTGGAGGGTCAGGTTTGGCTGTTCTTTCTTTTTTTTTAAAGATTTATTTTATTTATTTATACATACAAGAACTGGGGTGTAGGGCAGAGGTGCAGGGAGTGAGAAGATGCACGAGAGACAGAGTGGGGAGCAGAACAGGTGGATTGACTGAAATACACTGTTGAGGGGAGCAGCGGGTGAGGCAGGAGAGGTCTGCTGCACCCTGTGGGTCAGCAACCTGGCCGGGGAGCCAACTCAGGCTGCAGTGGCTGACAATAGCTTGATAGAACTTAGACTTTAACCCCTGCGCCACCAGGGAGGCCCAGGCTTGGCTGTTCTTGCGGAAAGGGCCACACACAGGCAGACCAGACTTCAAGTGACAATCGGTCACTGAAACCCCGGTGGTGGTGTGAGTCCCTAGTTAGTTCTTTCATTTTTGCCTGATGGATCAAGAAAAAAGGCTCACCTGGGTGCTGGTTTAACCCTCCTGTCCCCCACAACCACCAGACTGCCTAATGGAGAGAGCAGATCAGCACAAGGCTAATTCATTTTCTCTCTTTTCGTTAAATTTTTTAGTTAATTTTTAAAAAGACTTTTATATCCCTTGTTTTATTTTTACGGTTGCCTTACTTATGGCAAGTGAGCTGTTTGAGTTCAACATAGGGCAGATCCTCACAGAGGCATTGGTGAGTGACAAGCCAAGGAGACAGACCTCCTGACCCCCCTTTTTGCTGCTCCTCCTGGCCAGGCCTCTTCTTCTTCACCTTCCTCTTCTACTCATTGTCCCTCGCGGCTGTGGCGCTGATGTTCGTCTACTACACCCAGCCTGGTGCCTGCCACGAGGGCAAGATCTTCATCAGCCTCAACCTCACCTTCTGTGTCTGCGTCTCCATTGCTGCTGTCCTGCCCAAGGTCCAGGTAAGACTGAAACCAGGCCCCACGGTGTGTGGGACTTGTTGTGGGAAACCTGGAGGCTGAGGCTGGGCCTGTCAGTCTCTGAGGCTTGGGCTAAGAGTGTGGGCGCCCACGTCAGCCTACCTAGGTTGGAGTTTTGACTTCCATATCTACTTGCTGGATGTCTTTGGAAAGTGTCTTAACCGCTCCATGCTTCCCTCTTCTCAGATGTAGAACGGAGTAATGCCTACTATTTGGAGTTACTCTCAGGGTTGAGGTCACATTTATGAACACTCAGAGCAGTGCCTAGTGTGTATATCATCAGATACGAGATGGCATGCCCATCACACCCTGGCTGTTATCATTCATGTCATTTTATTCTTGCACTGATCATCATTTCCATTTTGCAGATGAGAAGGTGGGAGGCTTAGAGAGGTAGAGACTCGAGTGAGGTGACATGGCTAGTAGGCGGTGGAGCTGGGGTTTGGACCCAGGCAGACTGGCTCCAGAGATTATGCTTTTAACTGTGGAGTTCTGATTTATATTTTCAAGTGTGTGTGTGTGTGTGTGTGTGTGTGTGTGTGTGGTGAGGACAGAGAATACTAGGCCAAGTAAGGCGATTTTGAATAAGTGCTATGTGAAAATAAAAGGGAGTGTGGCTAAAAGGTAGGTGGGCTAGCAGGGGCTGTGGTAGTCAGGGGTTAGGGGCCTTGTTGGGAGTCCTGATTGAGCTGAGGTCTGACTACTAAATAGGAACTGTCTGAGGGACTGGATACTAAACAGGGAGAAACATGTAAGGGAGAGGGGTCACAGTGAGTGCAAAGGCCCTGGGGTAGGAGAGAGGTTGGCCAGCAGGGAGGCCTCCATGCTGGAGTGTGGTCAGCAGTGAGGAGTTTGGCAGGGGGTCAGGTGTAGACCAGGAGGCTTTAGCTCAGAGTGTGATGAGATGCCCCCTTTGAAGAGTTCTTAACAGAGCAATAATCTGTTATGAGAGTTAGGATTCCATCCCCTGGGTGAGTGAGGTGGGTGGTAGGTAACAGGGTGTTTTCCCAAAGAGTTTGGGGTGGGATGGGGTTTCTAGAGTGTTTGGGGTTTCTGAGGCCTCCTGCTTGGGGGTGAGTGGGCTTCCTCAGGTCTGGCAGAGTCTTACTGATGGACTGCTTTTACCAGGAAGCTCAGCCCAACTCAGGTCTGCTGCAGGCCTCAGTCATCACCCTCTACACCATGTTTGTCACCTGGCTAGCCCTGTCCAACGTCCCGGGTGAGTAAGCCCTTTGAGGAGGTGGGCCTTGTCCTCGGGCTAGCGGCTGCCCTCTGGGCATATCATGGCTACGGCCCATTTCCAGACAGTTCTTCGAGGGGGAGAAAGGGCCCCTTCTCATCCTGGAGTTGTCTTTACATTTTATCTGCTCAGCACATTTCTGGAGTTGGAATTTAGTGTCCATCTGGGTTGGCTCTCTGCCTGTCCTCACGGCTACCTGGCTCCTCAGATCTGCCCTGCCGGTGCTGAGGGTGATTGTGCTTCCATCCCCAGACCAGGAATGCAACCCCCATCTGCTGACCCGCTTCAGCAATGGCTCGGGCCTGGCTGGCCCCGAGAACTATGAGACTCATTGGTGGGATGCGCCGAGCATCGTGGGTCTCATCGTCTTCATCCTGTGCACCCTCTTCATCAGGTATGGTGGGGATATGGCATCTGGGGAGGGATCATGATTAGGGGCCTGGAAGGGGAGGAGGTGGAAGCTGAGGTACAGGTTACAAGGTGCCCCTGGCAAGCAGCATGTCCAGTCCCTGCTTTGTGCAGGTGGGGAAACTCAGTCCTTCAGGGGACACCGTATCATGGGGCAACAGAGGTGGGGCTCGGCCTTGCCTCCTGACTCAGGGCCTTTAACTGAACACCAAACTGCCACATGCTCAGCTCAGGTGGGTGCAGGGACTTGTGAGGTCGGGGAAGGACCTGGATTGGGGTCAGGGAGTCCAGGTGTTGTCACTCACCTGCTGGGTGGCCTGGGGTCAGTGGCTCCCCCTTTCTGAGCTTGTGTCCTCCTCAGTAAAAGAAGGGTGATAACCTCTCATGCTCCTGTGCTCCCACAAGACAGGGAGGCTTGTACTTAATGATCACATGGCAGCTTTTTTAAAAGGGGCTTCTTAGCGAGGGCATACGAGTGTGGACTCTGGTGCCAGACTGCTACATCTCCTCTTAGCACAGTTCTTAAAACACAGAAAGCAAAGAAGCATAAACCGCCACCAGGGCAGGGGCCACGGGTGATGGTGCAGCCCCCAGTGATCTCCCCAGATCTGAACTCCCTAAAGCACTAGATTGCCACATGGTGGTGATGTTGGTTGAAGCTCGGCAGGGGTGATTTCTCACCCTCTGGGGTGGGGCTGGAATCTAGGTCTCCTGTTTCACATTTTTTTCAAAAGGTAAGCTGGTTTGGCAAATTAGTGTGTCTCAAACTCTTAAATACCGTGAAAGACACCGAGACTTCATGATAGAAAAGCAATGACAAAATCATTATAATTGTTCGTATTTTTTATTGTGAACTTGAAGAAAAGGGACGTCATTGGTAAAACTACCGACATCTAATAAAAGGAAACAAACTTAATTGCAAATGAGCATCGTTAATTATTAACACTGTTGGTGAAGGTAGTACCTGCTACATGTTTCGCAGTTCTAGGTACTCAATACATGTTTATAGAAATCGCACCTGAACATCCAGAAAATAGTGACTCTATTTAATTTTGCTCTTGGCCTGGAGCAGTGCTGGGGCCTTTACATCCTTATTCTATTTAATCCTCCTTGCAGTCCTATAGGGGAGGTGCTGTTATCCTGAATTTACAGTGGAGAAAACACAGACTCAGGGGTAGAGTTGACTCCTGGGCCCAAGACCTAACCATCAGGTCACTAGCACCCAAGGGTCTGGGACCATGCGCCTCCTATGGTTGTGGCTACTGCTATGGCTCCCAAGGCCCTGGTGCCGCCTACCTGACCACCGCCCTCCTCCCTCCCCGAAGTCTGCGCTCCTCCGACCACCCGCAGGTGAACAGCCTGATGCAGACAGAGGAGTGCCCGCCCATGCTGGAGGTCATGCAGCAGCAGCAGCAGCAGCAGCAGCAAGTGTTGGGCGGCGAGGTTCGGGCCTTTGACAATGAGCAGGATGGCGTCACCTACAGTTACTCCTTCTTCCACTTCTGCCTGCTGCTTGCCTCCCTGCACATCATGATGACACTCACCAACTGGTACAGGTGTGTGGGGCCTGCTGGGCATGGGCAGGGCCAATGGGGTGCCTGGGCCACATGCCCCCTCCCCTGGCACCTCCCTGGCTTGTGCTGACTACTCAGGCTTGGGGGCGGAGGTGTCTTATCTGGGGCCTTCCGAAGAGCCTGCCTCCTGCATGCCCTAGTTTCCTGCCTCGGCACTAGTGTTCTCAGTTCCTGACACCTTCACTAAGTGCCTGAAAAGTGAAGTTCACAGGAGGTGGGGAAAGTGAGGCTCACAGGCAGGCCCTGTGCAGGGCAGATGGGGTTTGCATACCAGGGGTGGTGACTTGGATTATGAGGTCAGGTTTGGGACTCACAGTTGGAGGAGTTGGGATTAGGGGGAGAGGCTTAGAGTCCAAGTGAGAAGGTTAGGAATAGGTAGGCGTCCAGAGGTCAAGGGCTGGGATTAGGGCCAAATCAAGTGACAAATTTGGTCATTTGGTTAAAATTGGAGTTAAGAGGTCATAAAGCTAGATTGAAGTAGCAAGGCCAAGGAGTTAAGATCAGAGTCACAAGGTTAGAGGCCAGGACTGGGGTCACAGGGTCAAGGCCCAGAGATATCAGAACTGAGTCAGGAGTGGGATTACGGAGTCAAGGGTCAGAGTCGGTGTTAGTGGTCAGGATGGAGGTTAGGAGCTCTGGGGTCCCAAAGTCAGGGAGCAGGAGTCAGGCCCCAGGGCGGCAGCCCCCTCTTACCCACAGTTTCACACTCCCCGGTTTCAGTTGCCCACTGAAAGGAGAGAGCGCGTGAGAGCACCCTCCCGTAACTTTTATTACAGCGTATTGTTATATCTGCACTGTATTATTAGTTATTTTTGTTGATCTTTTACTAGTCCCACTTTATAAAATTACATGTATGTGAGTATAGGTGAAAGAATAGCACAGAAGGGTTTGTTACTGTTGTGGTTTCAGCCATCCCCGGGGACCAGGGAGCCCGCTGAATTACCATCTAGGACTGGGGTCAAGGTTGGAATTGAGATCAGGGTCAGGTCTGCGGCACAGGCCAATAGCTGTGTCTAGGGTCATCAGGCCCGTGTCAGGCATGCGCATTAGAGGTACAGAGTAAGAGCCAGAGTTGAAATCGGGGATTATAAGTAGGTTCTAACGTCAAGGCCAGGCAGGACCCAGTTTCTAAGATTGGGGTCAAGCTCACTGGGGTGATGGCCTGTTGCAGACCCGGAGAGGCCCGGAAGATGATCAGCACGTGGACCGCGGTGTGGGTGAAGATCTGTGCCAGCTGGGCAGGGCTGCTCCTCTACCTGTGGACCCTGGTGGCCCCTCTCCTTCTGCCCAACCGCGACTTCAGCTGAGCAGCCGCCTGCAGCCTGCCCACCTGGTGCCTCGGGGCTCATGAATGTGGATGGATGGAGTCTCTGCCCCTGCCCCCTCCAGGACTTGCCCAGGAGCTGGGCCCCTCTATTCTTAGTGCCTTCAGGGATGAGGAGCATCAGGGCCACGCCTGAGCTCACCCTCCCGCTGCCCGACCACGGGGCTGCCTCTTCCCTTCCCTTACCCCCTGTCACCCACACTCACCCTCTTGTGGAAAAAGGGCCCCTGTTCTCAGGCTCCCCAGGAGAGGGTCCAAAAGAAGAGCAATGCTCAGAGCCGCTCAGAGAGCGGGAGAATGCCCCACAATGGGTGCCCGGCACTGAAGCCCGGGCCTTCCCGCCCTGCCCCCAGGGTACCCACCCCTTTCCTGGACCCTGTGCCTTACTAAGTCTCCAAGACTGCCCAATAAACAAGCCAGTGCATGCACCTTTGTGTCCTATAGCCCTTCCCTGTACGGTCCCTGACCCGTCTGGGGCTAGTGTGGGGGCTGGGGGCAGAATGCCAGGCCTGAGGAGGCTGACTCATTGGGCCCGGGCCCCAGGGGCCCTCGGGGCCAGACCTAGGGACCTGGGCTCTGTCCTCATGGAGAGCCTGGGGGACGGAAGGCTAAGGAAGAAGGAGGGGCTTTGGAAAAGTGACTCTGGGGTCAAAAAAGGGGACCACAGAGGCTGGGGCAGTATCCATTTGAGGGGTGGTGAGACCAGAGTGCTGACCCCAAGGCCCTGCCCACTTCTGGGTCCTGCTGATCGAACTCCTCACCACCCCTTCCCTCTCTCCCCTAGTCACTGGTACTTGCTCTGGGCCAGGTGCCATGGGGAGTACAGAGAAGCAGCTAACCAATCCCTAGGCCTCAAGGGATGAGCTCCTCCCTGAGTGGTGCTGAGCTGACCTGCACCCCAGGAACCAGGGGCTCCAGGCAAACCCTCCTGGCTGGGCACTGTGCCGTGTTCATCAGACAGGAGAAATGCCACCCACTCCCAAGCTGTTGTGAGGCTCAGACGAAGCAGGCCACCCACCTCCTGAGGCACACAGTGATGTGGGGGATGAACAGGCTCCCAGCTGGGGCCCCAGCCTGGTCCTGACATTGTGACAACTAGACATGGGCCTTCACCTCTTCCACTCCTGGGTGTAACGAGTAGGTATTGACGTGGGTTTGTTGGGGATGCTGTAGCCAAGGACACAGCCTGCTTTCAAGGAGCTCCTGGTGTGTGGGGCAGCGGGAGGTGCAGTGGCAGCGGCCTTACAGATGCAGAATTCACCGAGAAGCCTCCTGACACGGGCTGGGCATCAGGACAGAGGTCTGAGGATGGACGGGACTCAGCCAGCTCAAGGGGAGCAAAACTACTCAAGGCAGAGAGGGCAGCATATGAGCAAGAGAAAGTGGGGTATTCAAGGACTGATGAGAAATGCAAAGTGCTGGGGTGAGGAGAGTGTGTGGGTATCAGGAGGGCATGGGAACTTGGAATGAGGGGCCAGACCCATATCGCACAGGTGAGGACCAGGGGAAGAGACCAGATATTATCCCCAGGTATAGAGGAGACATGGAGGCTTGTATGGCGAGAGAGAAGAGGTGAAGTTATGAGCTGCCATGTTTAGAGCAGAGCAGTCACATGGTGAGAGTGTTATTTTAAACAGATTTCCATGGAACAATGGAGGATGCAGCAGCCAGAGGTAGGTGCCAGGACCCAGGGCACAGAGCGTGGGGCCTGGCCTGGGCAGGGGTGAAGGAAGGCAGCTCTCATTTGGGAACTGATCTGTGGATGCGCTTGCTCACTGGGGTCTTTCAGCCCAAAGGAGCAGTTAGGCACCACTACCACCACTACCTGCCCCCCGCAACTGCCTGTACCCCCACCGCGAGATTTAATTTCTTTCTTATTTCACCTTTGGGAGAAAAAGCCCACATTATGCTCCTAATCACCATTTTTATGCATTTGTGTAAGTGGGTGATTGTGTCCCACAGTTTGTACTCCTGTTGCTCTGCAGTATTGCAATTATTCATTCGACAAGCAGGCAGTGAGCATGAATTATGTGCCAGGTCCTGGCTGGTGTGGGCTGGCAGGGCAGGAGGCAGGGGTGAGGCTGATGTCACCCCAAATGCCTGGTGAAGGAGTTTCAGGTCCCACTTTGCAGGCCACCAATGCCAAGAAGCAGCTTGTATTGCCCCAGCCAGCTTGAGGGACCTTCCCTCTGCATTTCCTCCAGTGAGGCAGTGGAGCGGGTATCAGTGCTGACCCACTGCCCAGCCAGGGACTGGAAGCCCATTCGGCCCATCTGCTGGGGGTCCGTTCATCTGCTGTCCAGAACCCTGGCTTCCACATAGCCTCCTTCCCTCCTCCCACCCCTCTACCTTCCCCCCTGTCAAGGGGCTGCCCTCCTGTCGAGGGGCTGCCTTGTCAGGGATGTTTGCTGGGCTGTAGTTACTGCGGAGATCCAGGGGCAGCCTCAGCCCTGCTTGCCCTGGAGCAACTTTGCACAGATATCTCTGGGCAGAGTGAGCACAGAGCCTGAAGATCACGTGGGGAGCCTGCTGGAAAGCGTGCTGGTCCCCCAGCTCTCTGCATCACTGTCTTACAGTGTTGGCAGCTCAGCTGCAGCTTCTGTAAAATGGCAATAGTGTCTGTTTAAAATATCAAACTGATGCTTGGGGTTGTGGGGGGCGCAGGTAGACACTGGTTAACCAGCAGACATTCAGCTCAAGCCTCTTCTCCCTTGCCTTCCTCCAACACAGAGGCAGAAAAAGCCAAGCAGCCTCATTGCAGCTTCCCTGTGAGTTAGGAGTGGGCTCCTGACAGCATTCTGGCTAATTGGATCCAAACAGGAATGCTAAGAAGCATTTCTCCAAAAGCTTCTTCTTTTCTTTTACAAGGCACCATTCATTCCCCTGCTTTCCTATTTTAATGTGAGCCCAGTGCCTGGAGCAGCAGCAGCCACTTTGGGACAGTGAGGCAGTGAGACAACAAGCCTCTCCAAGGAGATGAAACCAATGTGGCTCCGAAGGGATAGCCTGCAGGAAAATGGGTCCTGAGACACTTTTGAGCCACACCGTCTGCCCCCTGTGCCTGACTCCAACCTTCTGTTACACACACAAAAAAAAACAAACCCCAATATATGCAGGGCCCTGCTGGTTGGGTATTAATGCCTTGCAGCTGAATGTATTTCTAACGCAGGACAGGTGAGGCGGACATTAATTTTAATGATAATAAAAATAATAAACAGGAGAAACACGTTCAATACTCAGGGCTATTGGGGAGCAATAGTGTAGCACACACACACACATACATTTATAAATAAGTGTGCACATGTGTTTAGATAGTGCACAAACATGTTTAGTAACAGAAGAAATTGTGATAGTTTTTTTAGTTACTGATAGTTTTAGTTACTGATAGTTTTTAGTTACTGATTTTTTTTTAGATACTGATTTTTTGCTCCTTTGGCAAACATATGGGAGAAGGTTCTGGGCTTCCTTGCCTTGGGGGAGGCTGGAAGGAGTGCAGGAAACAGGAGAGAGGTTACCTGTAAACATGCCTCTCCTACCTTCGGCATCCTGAAGACCCAGTTGGTTGTGGAATTTCTGGGTGTGGGGGAGAGGTGAAGCGGGCCCATAGGTACCTCCTGGAGGGAGGAGCAGGTACCCCTCAGGAACTTGATAGAGGGGGGGAGGCAGGTGAATGGTTTTTCCCAGACCCCAGAGAAGTTCTTCATGACTGGAAGGGGAGACAGACGGCTGTGGGTGTTATGAGCAAGGGTGGGGCACCAGTCTCTGCTGAGCCGGGGAGCAGGCAGAGCTTGGGGGAGCTGATGAGAGTGCAGAGGGGTGGAAACAGTTTCCAGTCCAGGATCCTCTGGACCTGCGGGGCTGGGGTAACCAGAGTGGACTGATGGACAGTGACTAATTCATTCTGCTCTGTCCACAGCCTTGTTGTGGCCTGTGACCCCAGGACCACTGCGCTTTCCTGGTAGGGACCCAGTGTGTGTTGCAGGGGACAGTAGAGAATGGCGGAGGTTGATTTCCCACCAGGCTGGTGGAACAGGGCTTTGGAGAGAAAGAGAGTTGGTACAAAGCCATGACCAGATACTCTCTTTCTTGAGTTACCCACAGTGAAAATCACTTTAGCTATCAAGCCTGTTTATGGTCAATTATTTACCTGAATCCTCCACACCACTGGAGAGTGAATCATGAGCTCTGTGTTCACCCACCTCCACGCCCACCTGCCAGACAGCCTGGCACTGAGCACGGGTCTGTTTGCTGTCACTGAGCCAGTGGGAGGTGCTTCCTGGAGACAGGCTAGGAGTCCTGCTGAGCAGGTGAGGGCCATGCTGCAGGGGGCCTTAGGGCTGATGGGGAAGGATCCTCAGGTAAAATCTCTCTGGAATCTGGCCACACCTGAAGTGGAAAACAGGAGCCTACCCCCAGGGTACCTGGCTGGGGTTTAGGCCAAATGTCCCTGATTTGCAGTATGACCTTGGACAAGGGACATGATTCCTCTGGCTTTGCTTTTCCCATTAGTAAAATAAGAAGGTAGGAAGTCACCTAAGCGCCCATTGCCCGACGAGTGGATGGGGAAGATGCGGCCCCTGCGTACAGTGGAATCTAGGCAGCTGCAAAAAAAAGACGAAATCTTGTCGTTGGCAACAATCTGGACAGCCCTTGAGGGCATCGTGCTAATCTCCCCTAAGTAAATATTGAAGCCCTTGGACTCTGAGGTTCCAGAGAGGAAGAGGGAGGGTGGGGTCAAAGGGCGGAGGGGCCTAGAGGGCTGCGGTGGGGGCTGCACTTTGGTGCTTCATGGTGGGTGTGCTGTGGGTAACATACATTTGAAGAGTGGTGAACCTGTACTCCTAAAACATGGGCAGTCTTGTAAACTAGTGTTACTGCAATAAAATAATAACAGTGGTAATAACAATGAGGTAGGACTGGATGGTAGGACGGCTACAGTCTGGCAGAATGGCTTTCAGGAGCTACAGTCCAAGCGTGTGAGGGTCTCTTTGATAATGCCACTTCTCCCTGGTCTTGATGGCCTGTTTCTCCCACAAACAACCCCCTTCCCCAGCACATGCATGCACACATGCATGCATGTACACACCCAGAGTGTACAGAGCACTGTGCACACAGATACATGAGTGCACACGGCAGCACATACAGTGGGCTGCCATACGTTACCCATCACCCCTCCTCCCTGGGCCTGCCTTGCTGCGGGTCTAGACAGCTGAAGACTTATTTCTCAGACTACTTGGGTTAGAGATAGAGCTCCGGGTGTGACTGAGGTTCAGCCAATTGGACACCTTTGGAAAGAACGTGAATTCACGTAGTCTGCAGACTTCTCCCTCGCCCCAGTGGCCATTTTCAGTGTCTGGCAGCACCTCCTGACTTTACCCCTGATTCTCTCTTTGCGAGCATCGAATTCCCTGTATTAAATTCTTTTTTGCTTGAAAGCAGT